GAACATGCCTAAATCGTTTATAAACTGTTTTTCCAGAACCTATATTTGAAAGTCCTTATCGCGTTGTTCATGTTGTGTATATGTTGTAGGTAGTTGTATATGAATAGTATGTAGTTGCATATAAATAACATGCAGTTGCACTCGCGTATAATGGTATATATTTAGTTTTATAACAGTATGTCGTTGTATACAAACAGTGTTGAGATGTATAGAAAATACAGTATTTAGTTTTTGTGAACAGCATGTAGTTGCATATAAATTATTATGCATTTGTATATCATATGTAGTATGTATTTGTATATAAATAGTATGTACTTGTATGGTATGTATACACTACCGTGCAAAGGAAAGTATACACCCGTGTTTGATGGTGGCTAAAAAAGAAGCAAATAAGAAACGGTTATTCGATGATGACGTATGTGATAAGGATACCACAGGCGATATTACATGCACCATGCCAATAACTATCTTGCGATAATGTCTCGGGGACTGACAGGGTGCATGGAGATATGGAGAACACAAACAACGCTATTTCATTCAACTTTGGCCTTCTTCCCAAATTTAGCGGTCAGGCCGTGATATAAATGAACAACTTTACCAAAAAATAGTATTAAAAAAGTTGGAAAATATATACAACAGTTAATATTTAATGCATACATGTATAATGAGAAATTAGAGATGTAGGTCCTGGGTCTTCACAATTAACGTTCCACGAAAGACCTCCGATTGAACCCCGAGGCAAATGACAAGTTGTCAGGTGCTGTAATTAAGGCCTGCTAGATATTGCCAGTAGACATTGCGACATGCAGGGATTAGATCGTCTCACATTCATCACCAAACAGTCATACTAACACTTGTTCTGTTACACACTTCAATCAGAGTGACAATGAGGTGAAAGGTCAAAGGGGAGGGCATCTTCACTTAGAAGGTGATGTAACAGAGTTGTCTGCCCTTTATCAAGTGTCCGTCGGCCGATTCATGTAGAGCCTTGCATGAAAAGGATACGTACGGTTGAACTGGTTCAAACTTGTGTTTGGGAGGGTTTTATAGTATGCGCTGTTTGGATTGCACTGGAAGGGATTTCATCTGAGGTAAGGTTGAATGAAATAGAGTAACTGTTGTTTATGTTCTTTACATTAACACTTTATGAAGTATTCCTACGGTTGGTGCTTTTATCTTTTGTGAGGACCAGTCTGTAGACTGTAAAACTGAGTATTAGTCAGCAGACTGTGTAGTATCAGGATCTTCTGATTGTGGGTTCGAAACTTCCTTCATGATTACAATCCTTGGTTTGTCAGCACCATATCCATGCTCGTGGGTTTCACCAAACTGTTAAACATCAAAGCTGTTTCAGTTTCATCTTGTTTAACGCCGCACACAGCAATATTCCAGCTATATGACGGCGGTATGTAAATAATCGAGTCTGGACCAGACAATCTAGTGATTGACATCATGAACATCGATCCGAGCAATTTGGATACGATGATATGCATCAACCAAGTCAGCGAGCCTGACCACCCGATCCCGTTAGTCGCCTCTTACGACAAGCATAGTCGCCTTTTACGGCATGCATGGGTTCCTGAAGACCAATTCTACCCCGGATGTTCACGGGTCGTTAAACATCAAAGCCTTTCATCACTTTGGTCTTTCCTAGATTCGCTGGGCTTTCATTTCCTCATGCTGGGTAGCAACGTTGCTGCACTGTTCAAGTACAGGTTATTTTTCAGCACTTTTTCTTTACCACGCAAGCGTTGCGTCCCATGTGTATGCCAAAAACCTATGATTGTGGGTTCCAATCCCAATACGCCCCGATTATGTTTCTAGGTTTGTCATCACCATACCGTGCTCGTGGGCTTCACCAAAGTGGTATACGTCTGAGACATGCATCACTTCAGGCTTTCCTCCCACATTCACTGACACGCCGCCATATAACTGGAATATTATTCAAAGGGGCGCTTAAACCATCTCACTTATTCCCTTTACCACGCTACGATTAATAACGAATTCCTTTAATCCATGACTACCTCACCAATTCCTTGGGTGTGCACACAGTCCAAACTCTAACCATATCATATAAGCCATCTCCCAGACTATCTCTTTCTACATACTGATAAAGGTTAATGATCAGCTATTTTTCTATCAGAATACCTACATCAAAAGTGCGAGGTATCATTACCAGTCACTCAATCTCAATCAAACTACGTTCACATTTAATTTTAATTTCAAATATATATCAGTTGAAAAATTTCGAATTCCAGTCTCGTTTCCTTGATGCGTTTTATGATCAGACATTTTTATTTGTTTATGGAAATGAAGTATTATCTGAACAATCCGTCAGTCTCAGCGCGCATGCTGTAGTGAGGCCCAGTGGCGTTATTCCCGTGGGAAGTACATACTGGCTAGAAATCGCAAAGTTTCTGTTAGTCTCTTCTGTTAAGGAAATAGGAATGATTTATTGTTTCATTGACACGTATCGCCCATTCATATGAGTAAATACCAAATAAAACCTGTCATATTAATAACTTTACTGCTTTGTACTTACCAACTGTCATCACACGTGTGTGAACTCGACATTACAAAAGCGAACTTATGCTAAGAGTGCGGACACATGTACATGCCCATTGGTTTACCTCAAATTTGGATGCCAGCTAAAATGTGAAGTCATCAGCTCTTTTCTGGCTGGACACAATTTCAAAACTAGTTATCGGACGAGTCAACCAAGATTCAACAGTGTAATGGTGCATTTGAAAAGTGCCTTAGTTTATGATGAACCTAATTTAATGGCATGAAAATCCTCTGAGTAAGGTGCGTTTGTGTTGGGATGTGGGAGACGCCCGTAAATCGCTGTGGAGAGTTGCGCCCCTAATGCCTAACAGAATTCTAGAACTCAAACAATGTTAAAGTGACGTTAAAACTTACTCACTCACTACTTGTGTTTGTCTTTCAGGGCAGTCGGGTAGCCTAGTGGTTAAAGCGATCGCTCGTCACGCCGAAGACCCGGGTTCGATTCCCGACATGGGCACAATGTGTGAAGCCAATTTCTGGTGTACCCCGCCGTGATATTGCTGGAAAATTGCTAAAAGCGGCGTAAAACCATACTCACTCACTCACTCACTATTTGTGTTTGTCTTTCACATTCGAGATAACTTACTATTTCATGATTGACGTTGTCATAAGTGTTGTTGAGATAACGTACTATTTCATGATTGACGTTGTCATAAGTGTTGTTGAGATAACGTACTATTTAATGATTGACGTTGTCATAAGTGTGGTTGAGATAACGTTCTATTCATGTATTGACGTTGTCATAAGAGTTGTTGATATAACGTACTATTCATGTATTGACGTTGTCATAATTGTTGACATAACGTACTATTTATTGATCAACGTTCCCATCGGTGTTATTGAGATGACGTACTATTAATTGATTAAAGTTTTCAGTCTTTGTTTGATAGGCATTCCTTAGAAGTTGACGGATGACAAGGTAGACACAATTTATGGATAAAATCTTCTTTAGTGTTCTGTTATAAGTTTTTAATGTGACGTTTACACGATATACAGCTTTTCTATTGGACGAGAAGGCGGTCACAGGCCGTGAAAATGACGTTCATACGTTTTTCACGAGACTGTATTCTTTAAATGACGGAAATACTGACGGACTATTTGCATTCCTGGGGGAACCCCTGGGAATTCCCTAGCACGAATACATACAGAAGCGTTGTTTCAGATCATTTAGACCCTTTAATCTTGAACTCAGGGTTGTAGCATACATTGAGAAAAGTAAGATAGTTTCACTGCTTGATCGTTCACGAGACTCCTTGCTACGACCGATCCTAGTGAACCAGACGCAGAAACAACTAGCGTAGTTTCCACTCGATACTTGACTGGACTTACAGTGACAGTCTACAGCAATCTATAAAATTACCTGAGAATCTGTTTGCCACATCGTTACAATCACCTTTCAATGATCGGCCAGTTGATCAATGATGACTAAAACATGTAACTGCCACAGGTTTATTAACTACTTCGGAATTATCTCCCGTCACGTTTATCGTCTCGGCCATTTTGACGTCTTGTACTTGATGTATATGTATTATGACGCGCTGTCATTGTGACTGACTAACTACGGTAGCTCTTAACGTACCTTTCTCGTTTAATGATGATCTTATTTGACTATATTTGTTGTAAACAAACTACAAAAGATGTCACTGTAGAACAATGTGAGCATATATTCGATCACGTTACCCTTCCTGTTGAAGAACTACTTTATTCCGCGGTACAGATGGTTGTTGAATGGCTGTCAGTGTAAACATTAAGTCTCACATACCAAATAAAATTGTGTATAGATCTACATCCTTCGAGGTAAAAAAAATGTCCCCTGCCGGGATGTTGCTGAAATATTGCTAAGATCGGCGTAAAAACAATACTCACTCAGTTACTCGAGGTAAAAATAGTGATATAAAAAATAAGAAGAATTTACTTACACTTTGTGTGAGTTCCTTGAAGTATGAACCTTCATAAGAGTGAGGACCAAACTGTATGAACGGCGGAGCAAGTTTGGTCCTCACTCTATGAAGGTTCGTCCTCAAATGAACTCACACAAAGTGAAAGTAAATTCTTAAATAGCGACATTTCGGTACAGATCTCTATAGACATATCACCGTCTTTCTTGAACACGGTATAAGGATCTATACTGAAAAGTCGCTATAATAGTATATTAAAGAAGTTGTTATCCATAAATTGTGTCTACATTGTTGTCTCCAGTGATGTCGAGATAACGTACTGTTCATTGATGAACGTTACCGCCGATGTTGCCGAGATAATCAGAGAGGAATAAAACATGACGATGTGGTTAATAAAAACATTTACTTTGTCAGAAGAATCCGACATTTTACTTGTGACATAGAAAATGTATAACCGAAAACGTGAAGATTGTTGCCATGCTACAGTAGACAGTGATGGATGAGGACGTGTTTTCATAACTTGCCTTTATGTTTCAGAATTTTAACATTAAGCAGTCGTACAGTACCAAGCAAAGATGAGCTGCAACACTCTGCTGACTATAGCAGGTAAAACCTGGGTTTATAGTGAGTACGTGAGTTGGGTTTTAACGCCGCTTTCAACAATACATGTAACGAAGTTATACCACGGCGTGTTAGCTTAATGTTGGAGAAAAAAACAAAGTGATGCAGGTCTGAGACGTCTAGAACCCACGACCACGGGTATAGTTCTGACAAACCTAAAATGATAACCGGGGCGAACCGGGATTCGAACCCACATGGGTCTCTGGCGTTCCTAAGTGACGCAACTTTGTACAGCGAATTATGGCGCCTAAGGCGACAGGACCATCCGTGTCCCTTGGGTTAAACCTCGGTAACTCGAACTCAGTTAAGTCGATATCTCGTTTGAAGTATGAAACTTTATGTTCACGGAGGAAAGTTTCGCATCTCTGTTGCACATTATCTCGAAATACGGATAAGTCGATTATATTTTTTTTCTCAAGAATCTCTTAACAAAGTTATATGCTGCATTTAGATATTCGATGTTCTTGGGTTGGAACAAAATCATCATTGGATATAACAGTACTTTAATATTTGTGTAAGCTGTCAAAAACGACTTGTTGAGGACATATTGAAATCATTTCTTATAAATAAATACATCAACAATAATAGCTTCACACAGTGGTTATTTAATCTTTAACACAAAGAAAACTGTAGACAACAATACGAAATGTGACATCGTTCGGTGCATTAATGCAGCACAAGCCCCGCCCATTCTATTATCAGCCAATCAGGAAACAACAGTAGGTTAGTGGGCGTGGCCTACCTGTTTTCGATTTATGGAAACATAAAGGCAAAATAATTATTTGTTCAGACAAATGCCACGGATTTACTTGCAATATAATTATATATTATTTATTTTTTACCTATGAAGCAAACGTTTCTCGCCGCGCTAAAAGCTTTTACTTCCCGTGCTGTTCCCAGCAACCTATCCTTGTCGTAAGAAACGACTTAATGGAGTAGGCGGTCAAGGCTTGGTAGCTTAGTCGATTAGGCGGCATAAGACGCTAGGGTCCTTGCTCACAATCAGTTCCTGGGTTGTCTGGTCCAGACTCGATTATTTACATATGGATGGAATATCGACGAGTGTGGCGTGAAACAACAAATAAACAAACATATCTGAACATAACCCGAAGTATGACTGTTGATAGTTTATATGTAATAAAACATCCAACTAATTGGTTTTGAAATGCACATGATTTAAATTAGATTAGAACAATTTTGCGTCCTTGAATTTCGAACAGTTTCGAATAAACGTGCACCCCTGCATCAACTATCAGAGATCACTCACAGAATTCTATGTATTCTTCCATAATATTCTAAACAGAAGCCTCTGGGATAAACACCGACAGCGTGGCACGCGTAATACTTCTTGTTGACGTATTTTCAGCACAGAAAGGCGTCTGTTGACACGTGATTATGTGCATGTCTTTATTATGTGATGTAACTTGTCAACGCAGGTGGTTGTGTACATGTCGTTACAGAAGATTAACATGTCAATGAAGGTGGTTGTGTATATGTCGTTACAGAAGATGTAATAATGATAAAGTAGGACATGACACGTGTATTTGTCAAACACTGATCGTCTTCCCTCCGGCAGTGTGGACGGTGTTGGTGGTGTTGGCCGTAGGCTGTGACGAGCAGTGCACGTCGGCGTTCCAGCAGCGCCTAGCGGAGGCGGCACAGGGCGGCAATGCTTCATCCTCTCTACAGAGAAGTTGCGAGTGAGTCCTCGTTGTCTGTAACTACAGTCAACTACGTTTATAACGAACACGCCTATAACGGACTGACGGATATGACGAACTTATTTTTCGTCCCGGCCACTGCTGTATATATGCTGTACACATGCTTATAACGAACCACTGTTATAACGAACTAAAACTAGTGTTATAACCGTAGTTCGTATTTCCGGAACATGTTCAAATTTACCTTTATTTTGCATGGATGGACAAGAAACATAAGAAGGTCCCGGGGGAAGAATAGAGATAACCAACAAAAGATTGATTTTAAGAAAAAAAATGAACATTTATGGTTGCCTGAAAAAGATTGAAATAAGTTTTGGAAAGAAAGAAAAGTCTTACTTGTCAAGTCATGTATGGTTATCTTACAAAAGAGATGCAGCCAATAATGTTATTAAAAAGTATGTATTTGAGATCTTTACAGACACACACCATTGGAAAAGAGAAGGGGTTATCGCAGTCTTCATGAAAGGTGGTTGTCACCGTTTTCCCTGAAACTCGGACTTAATGACAAATCTCATTTGCAGAAATAAAACTTTAAATACTGATTCCAACAGTCCAGTTCATTTCAAATCATAGCATGAAACAGGGTGACGATGAACCTGCACCATTCAGACCTGTAAATACAAGAGGTAGACAAGCAATGTGATTTGCAGTCAGTCCTGTAATGTCACAAATGTCAGTATTTTCACTACTAATTCTTCTAGTAGATGTAACAGTTGAATCCCCAAAAGAAAACACTTTGAATAAGAATATGTAGATGGAAAAGTATTGCTTTACCTGTTTATTCGTTCAAATTAGTTGTGAAAGTTTGAGAGATGACCTTGAATGACATTTGCGGGAAAAAACATGATTACCCTGTTTTGACAACTTTGCATTACAAAATAGAATTCCAAAAATATTCCGTTAAAATCTTCAGGCAGGCCTGAAGTCTTTTACCTACACTGGAAACAGAAAAGTAACCTAATCTGGCAAGAAAAGAGACAGAGGGATATCACAACCACTGAAACATGGGTTTGGGAAATAACATGAAAAAAAGGTCTTAAATACTTTAAATAATGATATTTTGTACAACTGAAATGCTCAGATGTGGCAACTTCTGATTCTTCTTGAACATCTTTGCATGTCGGTTCCTATGTGCTGTCATAAACATCACTTTGTGAAGATATTTCCCACAAAACGTCTTCTTCTGAAGCGGCCATGTCTTTGTGGGTTGGCACCTTCTATCCGACATGGTACCAAAGGCATGTGGCGTGTCATTAATATAGGGATGATGCACTGCACCAACTATTAGAGGGAGGGGAGGCAACAAACTTTTGAAAGATACTTCAGTATCTGGCTACCCACTAAATACAATTATCTCAAATGTTCTGGATGTGTGGCTTATCACTATCTTTCCCCGAGGCCTTCATTAACAACCAATCGAGAGGTTAAGAAGTGGATTTGCAGAGTTCTTGAGTTAGTGTGCGGGGAACGAACCTCGGTCTTCAGTCTGACTAGACGCTTCAGCACTTGTCTTTCCCGCTGCCCTGTGCCAAGAAAAATAATTTTATTCCAACATATGTACTGATATCAATGATACGGTTCCAGGGCAATCAAACTGCACCTTCAGTGCCTGGGCGAGATCCGGGCCAGCTGCAACGCCAATCAGATTCAGATGGTGAACAGCACCATCGCCACCATGCAGGCAAACTACGACAGGTCCTGTACCGAGGGTGAGTACCGTAGTCACTCTGTTTGACGATAGAAAGAGAGCCTCTGGTTTCACAAAGGAGGTTGGAAACGACTGTTAATAATTATTTTATCCGAAAACATTCTTTTATTTTAAAACATTAGTACGGAACAGCTATTTGTTAGTCAGGACGTTTGATAATTTGTCTGGTCATAAAAAACGGCATCTTCCTGAGGCAAGGGAGTTAACTGACTAAAAGTCCAGTTTCCACCCTTGCTGAACTAAGCTGAATTTTTGGGGCTCGACCACCAGTGGCTGTTATAAGTTATGTCCTATGACCACCTCTCATATCACTTGCATTTGCTTCAAATAAAATGGCGTCGCCCAGTAAAGACGATCTGTTCGATAATCAAGATCTATAAATAATAAAACGGTCTTACTTCGCGAAGTGCATCAAATCAAGGGAGCAGCTAGATTACAAACATGAAAAGATTTGTTGACGCTAACTCGTCGGTACACATGCCGTGCAGTTTTCGAACCGGATGTTGATTTCGTTACGCGATTTTCTTTTAACCATTTATAGACTCGTTAGTCCAACCCGAATATAACTCCAAAATTGCAGCCTAGTTCGGCAAGGGTGGAAACTGGATTTTTATAGTCAGTTCACTCCCTTGCTTCGTGAAAATGAAATAACGGCACCGTCCTAATTGTCCGGGCTTCACTGTAGATAAATGTGTATCTGTTTGTCAGTCGTACATGTATTCCCCCAGGAAGTGCCGGAGCCGAGGTAGACAACTGTGGAGCACGCTACGTGGTCTGCAACGAGAAGTTCAACGCCACCTTCTTCCCCGCGCTCAATGCGTATGATCTTACAGCGGCATGCGGGTGTGTACTTCCACTGACTTTCAAATGAAAATATATAGTTGTTTGGTTACTTTGGTTTATCAGTCAATATACCTGTCATCACACCCGTGAAGATCCGAGCTACAATAGGTCTTCAGCGACCCATGCTTGTCGTTAGAGGCGACTATGCTTGTCGTAAATGGTGACTAACGGGATCGGGTGGTCCGGCTCGCTGCCTTGGCTGATGCATGTCATCGTATCCCAATTGCAAAGATCGATGCTCCTGATGTCAGTCATTGGTATATCTCGTCGAAACTCGATTATTTACAGACCGCCGTCATTTATTTGGAATAGTGAGGCGTTAAACAACAAACAAACAAACTTATCTGGCTACTCTTTTCTTTATAAATTATTTTACTACACTAACATGATTGAAAAAGGGATACGCAAACTTATAACAATCAACATTAATAAGGCCCTAAGATCAACACTGTCAAATCACTTGCAAATAGAAACGGTAACGGCTGGTATCACGAGTATTCACGAGGAAGTGAAACTGATGATCCTATTTCACTCTTGCCCCCCCTCGCCAGCTCCCTGAACAACTACACGGCGTGTGTGGAGTCGCTCCTCACGTCCTCCGACTGCTCTCAGTATGCAGGCTACGCCGTCAACACCATCAACGGCATCAGGACCCGCTACTCGTCCACTTGTCAGGGAGGTGAGTCACGCCATTAGAGTTATCTCCCTTTCAGATTGGTCCAGCGTATTGAAAATGTAGGCAGTAACAATTAGTCTCTGAAAATATGTAATTTTGACTGAAAGAAGCAGCTACATATAACTTGAAAAGAAGCCCTAGTGACATGTGTCCCCAACCTGTTGAAAATCTAGACTTGCTTCATTTAGGCCTATAGCGTCAGGGCTGGGCGAAAGGAAATCACATCCAGGCCAATCCAGCTAACTTCAATCAATATCTAACCATGGCACGGAATACATTTATATTTAAGAATATATTCTTACCAGTGCATGGTTTCTTCAATTCCTCCGCTTTTGTGCATTTTTAAAACCACCCTGTCTGTGCGAGGGGATTCAGTGGGGTTGTCTGAGATTTCATTGGGGACAAATGTTTTACTCTCCTCAAACCTTTCATTGTAGCCAGAATGGGTTTTTTTGCGCCAAAGATGGAACAAACTTATAGCTGTTCCGTATTACAGTAACATATTTTGAGATCGTGTTGTCCACACACAAATACATTCTTCAAAACTGTCAAGGGTCGGAGTACTCTTCCAAGATTTTCTCAGTTTGATACAAGTCACTTCTTACAGCATCTTGATCTTGGGCTTCGGCCATTGGAGCATAGTTTCTCCTCTAATTGAATGTGTGATGAAGGCAATTATCTACACACAGACACTGCAACCACTGGAGCCAACATGGCGCGTTGTCTTAATGGAACCATGGAGTGCTTCACAACCTTCAACAGGACGTTCTTCCCATCTGTCCGGAAGTCAGACATGAGGCTCATGTGCAGGTCAGGTCAAATAAATGCTTCCGGTCGTATTGACAATCTCGTTTCCGCAGTAGACAGTCTTCAAAACATGAAGGTCCATCAGATTCTAGATTCAGATATCGTTTAGGGAGAATAAGTGAGTGAGTGTGTGGGGGTTAACGCTGTTTTGAACAATATTCCAGTTACATCACGGCGTGTCAGCTTAATGAGGGAGGAAAGCCCGGAGTGATGCAGGTCTCAGACGTTTACCACTTTGGTTAGACCCATGAGCACGGACATAGTGTTGTAAACCCCAGAAACACTCGGGGAAAAACGGGATTCGAACCCACGATCATAGGTTTCTGGCGTGCCCAAGGGACGTAACTATGCACTGCGAATTGTGGCGCCTTAGACGACTGGGCCACCCGTGCCCCCTTTGAAAGAACGAAGGACTGTTGCTTTACAATGCAGTCTTTAAATTTATGAGCCGAGTAGAACAGCCAATAAACGCAAATATAGTGTTTTGATGATTTTGTTTGTCACCGACACTCGATACGTCCTTCAAAATTACCACTATGCGAATTTCGCCTTTTGTTATTTTCGCACAATCGTTTCTAACCCCATCTTTCTCCGACCTATCTTGCTATCGTATCAGTTCCTGTTTCATACTCACGAGCAGCCCCTGTTGACAAGGTACTGTGTTCTGTCTGTGTGTAGTTCTGTGTCCAACTACTCCAAGTGCATCAACGCCCTGGCTGCCGACACTTCCTGTAATCAGTACACGTCCCAGGCTGTCTCCAGCATACAGGTGCTCGAACAACAACACCAGGTGGCGTGCGGCGCGGGTAGGTACCTCTATAAAGGGGCATAACTCCTGTTATCAAGGAAAGCAAACACTCGTCCTATCAATCTGCCTCTGTTTATCATTGGGGATATGTAATGTTAGAGGGTGGCAAGCTTTCAACAAAATTATGTCCCAGCAGATACTATCTTAATAGCTTGCATACTCAATGTTATACTCCGATCTCTCAATAAATGGTGAAAAAGAGGGCCATAATGAAAGATAACAAGACACTTTTTCTCAACAAATCACATGACACGAAAAATCATGTACTGAGTGTGGATAGAAATATCCACCGACCAAGGATGTTTTAGATGTAGAAAAAATGTTTGCACTGTCTATTATAAATACATGTTTAATATTATTCCAAACCTAGGTAAAGAGATTCAATAGCTATAATATGTAAACACAACACAGTGAAACATTGTTCTCTGATAGTGCCGTGGGATAGCGAAAGTATATAGTTAGTGTGAGACAAGGCGATTGTCGATATGAGACAAAAATGGCGATAAGGATTCCATAAGATCTGTCACATTACGTCCAAAGCCAAATGTCGAGTTACAAAAGTTCAACTTGACGCGGTTTCACTGTGAATGAAAACCAAAATTTTGCAGTGCACATACAACCAGGAACCAGTCTCCACGAAAAGGAATGTAATACATATTCCCACACTGTAGGTATGCACCTAGGTATAACTGTACGGAATCCAGCATGAGACGTGACCATCAGTTGCGCTTTGTTGTGAATGACAATTTGACTGAAAAGTGAAATATTATGTCGTAAACGACATTTTACTTAATCACGATACGCAAGATGATTATTCTCAGTGTAACTTAAGTGTGACGTTGTTACGTTTAGATGGCGGGGCCAAAGCCACTGCGTGTTTGAGAAGCTTCAGGGACTGTTATCAGCACTTCAATGAAACCTTCAACCCAGCCGTTCAAGCCATGAACATTGAGAAACTATGCGAGTAAGTATTTAAACACCACTGATTGGGACCCACCATTTCAGTTTTTTCTTAGAAACATTATATTTTCCGGTCACTGCTTCAAATCATGCATTTTTTAATTATTTTTTCTGTGAAAGGAGAAGCTGGACAATTAAATTTGGATACTTTGAAATGTTTTGTTCGGGACAAAACTATCCCGTAGAAAATGCATTTCTAGCAGCCATGTGTTGCCAGTTAAGTATAATGCACTTGTAGCAATGATTCACAATTCCAATTATATCTTTTCAATATATCCGTTTCAATCATTGCCAGTTCTATCAATGGCGAAAATGTAATTGTGTAGTCCTTACTTATTACTATCATCAACTGTTGACAAGAAACACAGTATACATTATCTATTTAACAATAATGGCTACTTGGTCTCTTCACGTGTTCTATGAGTTTCTATCTGGTAGGAATCTAACGATGCTTGTTACGTGGTCGCTACTGGTGTTGTCTTGTATTGCTTCACACGTTGAGTTTACGGAATTTGATGATAGTGTAAAACTAATTAATATCAGCGGTGCAACGGTTCACAAAAATGGATCTTTAAATCCACGTGGAAGGGTTGAGGCACATGTCATGTTAAGACTGCAAACAACTGTATGCCGTACACTAAGCTCATGACCATCACCCTGTTTACGCAAAGAACCTGTATTCTCTGCTTGTGGGTTACACTACTGACTTCTCTTCGTAGGTCCATGGACGAATACAAGGTGTGTTCAGTTGGAATACCTGACGACTGTGACAAGTACCTGGGCCAGTCCATTGACGGCCTGGACAGGATGCAGGCCCAGTACTCTCAGTACTGCACCCCAGGTAAGCTTGCTATACTCACAGTACTGCACCCCAGTAAGCCGGCTATACTCACAGTACTGTACCCCAGGTAAGCTGGCTATACTCGCAGCACTGTACCCCAGGTAAGCTGGCTATACTCGCAGTACTGCACCCCAGGTAAGCTGGCTATACTCACAGTACTGTACCCCAGGTAAGCTGGCTATACTCACAGTACTGTACCCCAGGTAAGCTGGCTATACTCACAGTACTGTACCCCAGGTAAGCTGGCTATACTCGCAGTACTGCACCCCAGGTAAGCTGGCTATACTTACAGTACTGTACCCCAGGTAAGCTGGCTATACTCACAGTACTGCACCCCAGGTAAGCTGGCTATACTCACAGTACTGCACCCCAGGTAAGCTGGCTATACTCACAGAAGTGCAACCCAGGTAAGCTGGCTATACTCACAGCACTGCACCCCAGGTAAGCTGGCTATACCCACAGTACTGTATCCCAGTTATGCTGACGATACTCACAGTACTGCACCCCAGGTAAGCTGGCTATACTCACAGTACTGAATTGTGCTCACGGTACTACATGGAAGAACTGACTTAGGTTGACCCATGGTCTTTGCGAAAAGGGGTGCACCCCTGCACTTCCCCAAATCCCATTCCACCCCTCCGCTTCCCTCTGGTTCCACCAGTAGACTGTCATCCCCAAACATGTAATCTATGTTTTTGTATTTACCCGTATTTCCAGAGAACAAGATGATATTTGGCTGCAGCCCCCTGTCCAAGTGTAACCGAAACCTGATCGGTAACCTCACCGTCACAGGGGCGGAGTCAGGCATGCTGTGCATGTAAGTACAGATTGTTCATTCTGCTCGTTATAGGTTGAATCAGCTCGTCACACGAAGCACAGATCAATCGAGATCAGTCTCCCAAAATTGCTATAATGTATTTTTACTCTGAAGGTTTTGTATTGTGACGAGTTTCCGTTCACGGTACGTTGCATGTGAGGGAATATCTGCTTCTACGTTCATCAATCCTCTTAAGACACCTCCTCCACCCACACCCTTCGACTCGTCGATCCTGCGCGAATGTCAATTTAATCATGAGACTGCTTCAAGATTGGCGCTGTCGCGTTACTGAATGAGATAGTTCCTGTGTGCTGCTGTTACTATGACACTGTTTGTGTGTGAGGCTGTTAACATGAGACGCTGTCAATGTGTGACGCTGTTAGTAGTGTGTGACGCTCTTAACATGTGACGCTGTCAATGTGTGACGCTGTTAACATGTGACGCTGTCAATGTGTGACGCTGTTAGTAGTGTGCGACGCTGTTAACATGTGATGCTGTCAATGTGTGACGCTGTTAACATGTGACGCTGTCAATGTGTGACGCTGTTAGTAGTGTGCGACGCTGTTAACATGTGACGCTGTTAGTAGTGTGTGACGCTGTTAACATGTGACGCTGTCAATGTGTGACGCTGTTAGTAGTGTGCGACGCTGTTAACATGTGACGCTGTTAGTAGTGTGTGACGCTGTTAACATGTGACGCTGTCAATGTGTGACGCTGTTAGTAGTGTGCAACGCTGTCAATGTTTGACGCTGTTATTAGTGTGTGACGCTGTTAACATGTGACGTTGTCAATGTGTGACGCTGTTAGTAGTGTGCGACGCTGTCAATGTTTGACGCTGTTAGTAGTGTGTGACGCTGTCAATGTGTGACGCTGTTAGTAGTGTGTGACGCTGTTAACATCTGGCGCTGTCAATGTGTGACGCTGTTAGTAGTGTGCGACGCTGTTAACATGTGACGCTGGTAGTAGTGTGTGACGCTGTTAACATGTGACGCTGTCAATGTGTGACGCTGTTAGTAGTGTGCGACGCATCTACTATGTGACACTGTTTGTGTTTGACGCTGTTAGGATGGGATGTCGTTAGTATGTGACGCAATTAGTTTCTGACGCTGTTAGTGTGTGACGCGCATGCGCAAATGTCTATCCTGACTGTATCAATTAAACTGATTCAACATTGGCGCCGTGGCGTTACAACGTGACCTTGTTAACATGTGACGCTGTTAGTCTGTGACTGTGTCGGTATGTGACGCTGTTGGTATACATGACGCTGTTAGTAGGTGTCAGGATAGGTTTAGAGCGATTATCAGCCATTTTGTAAGATCAACATCAGCGAAAGTGGTTCTGCGACTCGACACTTTTCTGAAACTGAAATGCCGCCCACGTTTAAGCACGTTACTATTTCCCCGTCTCTCAGGGTACTCGAGACGTACTTCCCCTGTGTGGACGAGGCGGTCAAGCAGTGCCAACTGTCTGGGGACGGGATATCCGCCATCTCCTTCCGTGATCTCGGCCTCCTCTCGTCCAGATACTGCCGGTCAGGTAAGTCCCCGCGCTGTGTTCAAGCACGTACAACACGTGCCTGACGTGTTTCTGTCTGCACCGTACCAGTGAGTCATCCATTGTAAATCTAGGCTAAATTGAGGTTAGATAGTTGTAGCGCTTATTCCGCCTTGTGCAAGTGGGTTTAGCTACAGTAACTTAATTAAAAGCAGAGATATAGATTTGGCTGCACGTCCTCTATGTATACGGACACACAATGAAAACGTGTCATCAACGTTAACACGAAGTACAAGAGAACGATTGTAGCAGTAAATATTTACTCGAATGACAAAGAATGATGAATGACCGGTGAAGATCCGGGTTAGAATAAGCCTTCAGCAACCCATGCTTGTCTAAGAGGCGACTAAGGGGATCGGGTGGTCAGGCTCGCTGACGTGGTTGATATGTGTCATCGTATACCCAGACTTGATTATTTACAGACCGCGCGTCATATTGCTGGACTATCGCTGGGTGCGGCGTAAAACAACAAACAAACAAACAAATATGCTTAATTTCGAATACGCGTTTCCAAAGATATAAGAGTTTATAGGTATAAGAGTAAGGCCTATAGTAGCGCTAGCATGGCTTTGTGAAGAAACCATCTATCTGGTCTGATTAAATCGGTGATCCGGAAACACAGCAACTCATTCATGTAAAATCCCCGTGCTTTTAGACACGTGCCAGTTGTGTTTCGGCGATGTTCTATTTTATATATCAGGTTGAATGGAGGTAGACATGCACTTGCTTGTGTTTCAGTGCTGGCGAACCCCGCCATCAAAAGCTGCATGAACTTCATGCAGTGTCACGCCGCCCTTGACCTTACCAACATGAGCCCCAGCATGATGGTGGAAGGAACCTATTGGTGCCAGTGAGTTGGATAGATGGCTAGATAGTCCGACGATGTATATAGATACCTAGATACTAGTAGTCTGTTGATACATATGTGGCTAGATAGATAGATAGATAGATAGATAGATACTGGAAGTCTGTTGATTTAGATATGGTTAGATACCTGGATACTAGTAGTCTATTGATGTATAGGCGGCTAGATAGATCGATATTGGCGTCTATTGATGTATAGGTGGCTTCATAAATTCTGGAATTCTGTACAGGCGGCTAGAAAGCTAGATACTGGAAGTCGATGAATAGGTGGCTAGATAGCTAGATAGTAGTAATATGTTTATGCAAAGGTGACTATAATCTAAAATCTGCTTTAATGATGAATAAGTAGGATACATGGCTAGATACTAGTACTCCGTTGATCTAGGTGGCTAGATACACCGTTGCGTATTTGCAAAATCCTATTTCAAACATGTCATTTTTCTTTATTTTACTTATTGTAAATGGTCATATTGTTTTGAAATTTGCTTCAATGTTATTTCTATTTCAATCCAATGGATATAGAAAAATAAATTGTAAACAAAGTAAGAGAATACGGCCTGACGTACATGTGGATGATGACGTTTCAATGGTGTGTATTGTTGTCCAGCTACATGGAGTCGTCGCTCATATGCAGCTCTCAGCTCATCAACGCCGGCCACTGTAACGTCCGGAACAGAAACGACATGATCAACAACATCCAACGTCTCCGGCAGATGCAACAGACGACGTGTACAATAAGTAAGTGGATTAACTCATGTAAACATAAAACTGTTTATCATCGTTCCGGTAAAACATTTTACAATGATGTTATTAGAGGGCACAATTTTGTATAGTTGTTTTATCTTTGATAAAAAATTTCAAATTCGTTCCCTGAAAAACGGAAGAGTTACCTTTCCTTGTCTAAATATAGCCACCAGGTGTGCTGTCAAGTTTGAATTAGTAGTCTCCCCACTGAGAAAAAAACAAACCTAGTGACCTGGCCCCAGATTATATTTTTTGTTGCTTATATTCTGAAGTGCTTGGCATATATATATATATATATATATATATATATATATATATATATATATATATATATATATATATATATATATATAATATTGCAATATTGCATTGACTGACTGCTTCGCTGAATGATCGATCGAGGAATTGATGAGTCAGAGCAATGAATCATAATTCTTTTTCGTTTTGTTGAACTGTATGTAGGATTTAATGTTAATTCGGTATCAGTCGTATATGTTAGATGGATGTATGCATTGCCATGACTTCTTATATATATATAGTATTTTATTTATATATTAGACATTGGTAAAGGTTATTATATTATCTTCATGGTTTGGGCGTTATCTTGAATATCTCGAATATGATTTAGATATATTCATTACACACCCAAATGGCACTGGTTACCCCTTCATAATTATTCAAATACTTTTGTTTTGCCCTAACCTGTTAAATATGGTCACCCTCCAGCCACACCCGCACCGACAACGTCAACGACTACCGCTATGAAAACAACAGAACCGCTGAAGGAAGGTAAGCCTGTCGATGACATCAGTAAACCGTTATTTACTTGAAGCAGTCGCAGTACATATACATCAATACTCAATGGTACTTACTGAGGTTTGGGGGGTTTACAGTAGTACTTAACATGATTTACCCGTCTTCATTGTTTAATGTGTTCCCCGGATTCGTGAACATCCGGGTTAGAATAGATCTTCAGCAACCCATGTTTGCCGTGAAGCCGACCATGCTTGTCGTAAGAGGCGACTTACGAGATCGGGTGGTCAGGATCTTTGACTTGGTTGATGAATGTCATCGTATCTCACTTGCGTGGATCGATGCTCATGATGTTATTCACTGGATTGTCTGGTCCAGACTCGATTAGTTACAGACCGCCGTCATAAAGCTGGATTATTGCTGAGTGCGGCGTTAAACAACAACAAACAAACAAACAAACACTGATTTCATTTAAAATGACGATTGTTTGTTTATATATAAATGGATATGATAGATGTATGAAAAGTCCCGAAGCGTGGCATTTAACATTCGTGATTCGTTAATGGCGCATTTTGAATATAACGGACTGATAAATGGATTCCTTTGCATGTTTATATGTTGGGTGATTTTAGAATTTTGTATGACGAGTTATGAACATATAGTTTTAGATAACCAGTTATTGCAACTGCTAATGATTTAATCATAATTATCTGTCGGGATAAGGCGCTCCGCAACATAAGCATGGTCTAATGTAGTTTTGATAGTCACCAATCACAATGCAAGATTTGATGTCAGGATAAAGATGTCATTGCAGAATACAACCCATTCTTAAACACGTTTTAACATTCAATATTTAGATTTAAGCAAGAAAGATGACGACAAGAAACAAGACAAGGTCACAGGGAATTCAGGTGAGATAGCATTTCTGTGCTGGGAATAGACACGGCAAAGTTCGACTCATGTATGGTCCTGTGTACATGCCATGACAACTTTGGCACCTTCAATAACGGTGGGGGAGGGGGCAACATATTCACTAGTTTTTACCCATTTCTGGTGTCCCATGCTGTGATATTGCTCGAATATTGATAAAGGCGCCGTAAAACTATACTCACTCAGTAGTGTTTCGGGGGCATGGGTGGCTCAGTAGTATCAGGCGCCACAATTCGCTGTGGGGAGTTTTAATCCATGTATACGCCTGAAATCTATGATCATGGGTTCGAATCCCGGTTTGTCCCGATTATGTTTCTAGGTTTGTCAGCACCATACCCGAGGTCGTGGGTTTCACTGAAGTGGTAGTCTGAGACCTGCATCACTTCGGGCTTTCCTCCCCCGTCAAGCTGACACGCCGTGATATAACTGGGATACTGTTGAAAGCGGTGTTAAATCAAACTCACTCACTCATTCACTCACTCAGTCCTAGTTTTTTCATAATGTTAGGGTGACAGTGGCACTAGGTTTCCCCGCCCACTAACGGGTGACGGGTGCCACCGACGAGGCAGGACACGCTCACCTTTACGCGAACAACTGGTATCATGCGTAAATTACAGTGATTCATACACTCATGCTATAGTCGGAATCGTACAGTGGGCTCTACCTTTAGCAGACATGTCATCCCACGTTCACCACTCCGTAGACGTTTTGTAGTTTTTATTTTACTTCATTGAATGTACTTCAAATCACCTGTACATCTTTGAGACGTCTTCAGTAAATATTTTAGATGGTAAAAAGTGCAGTCCGAGCGGATAGTACTTCTTTAAATGTCACATTCATTATTTTAGTTGCAATAAAACGTTTTAGTCGAATATTAGTCATCTTCCCGGGGCAAGAGAGTTAACTGACTTTTAAAGTCCAGTTTCCACCCTTGCCGAGCTAGGCTTGAATTGCTGGGCTCGATCGTAGCGCCACCACTGGCTATTACCAGTTATGCCCCTCCCATGGACCAATCAGATTCAACCCCTCGAAGCACTTGCATTTGCTTCAAACAAAATGGCGGCGCCGAGTCAAGACGATCTGATCGATAATCAAGATATATTGTGATAAAACGGATCTTACATCGCGAAGTGCATCAGAATACGTGAGCACCCTGATTAAAAACTTGAAAAGTTTGGAAAATATCTGTTGACACCGAGTTGGCGGTGCACATGCTTTGCAAATCCTGCAATCGACCGAAATCTGCATGACAGTTTACGAACCGGATTTCGATTTCATTGCACGACTTTTATTGGACTATGCATAGACTCGTTAGTTCAGCCAAAATCTAACTCCATAATACCAGCCTAGTTCTGCAAGTGTGAAAACTGGACTTTTATGGTCAGTTAACTCTCTTACCTCGGGAGGATGAATATTAGTCGAACACATTATTTCAATATCCTTGCGATAGGTACATGACAACTTTATTTTGATTTTGATCTAATACGGAATAAATGATAAAGCAAGACGTTTATGTAAATTACAAACATATTTTAATTTCAGATTCTGCATCTACCTTGACCTTGAGCTTTGTAACCTTGGCCCTGACCTTCCTGGTGACCATATTCCACCGTCATTCGTGAAACGATTGACCCGTTAGTGGATAAAGTCAAATATGATGACGAACAAAACAGACTGCCCTCCAGTAATGCCAGTCTCAGCAACTATAAGCCAACATCAGTTGAATGGATGTTCTCGAAATTTGTGGAGAATAATTTGAAACTTATGTTTCTATCATCAGTCATGGTTCGTTGTCGTTAAGAAATTTAAGAAGTCAATAAAAATCTCTTAACACTGACCCTAAAATCTTTGAACATATAATTTGGTTTGTACATTATTTTCGAAATATTCTGCAATTTTTCATAATTGGATATGCATTTGTGTGGTATTTGCTAGCTTAGTGTCATAGAGTAATAAGACTCTCATGTATGCACGTAACTGGGGTGTATTCACGAAGCTATCTCAGCTGAGCCCAGTCTTAGGGCTCACGATGAAATTAACACTACAACAAGAACTATTGTGGAAGGTATGTCCAAATTCTGACGACATGCAACTCCACGGTTAATTTTGAAACTGCCTAATGTTGTTTGATCAAACAGAGGTTTCAAATCACAAATTTACCTCTTATTCAAACGTTTGATGTGACGGCCGCATCACCACGGAAGATGCTATTTATTGAAGTTCCTCTTTTCTCAATCATTGTCGTAACGATACAGTTGTAGGTTACAAACTGCAGTTACTTCAATATTGTATGTGGGTATAGTGGCCCACCGCCCACATAAAGCTATCACGCCGTGATATAATTGAAATACTGTTCAAAGTAGAATAAAACTTTACTCACTCACACAAACCCCTTCACAGTTCCGTCAGGTGGCGATGACGGCACCTATCATCGCCAGAACCGTGAACCCTGCGTTAGCTTCGTGTATAGACTCCTGGGTAGCATTTCACAAAGCGATCTTAGCACAATGACTGTCAAGACCCCCCTAGTTTTACACAGATCTACGGCAGTCATTACACTTGGAGTGCTTTGTGAAACCAGCCCGCTGTATGTACTTCGCTTTTATGACTGACCTGTTTGTAAATAAAGTGGAATTATATATGTATGTTTTCTGTGTAATTGACACTTAAATGAAGTGGAAATGACATTGGGACTGCAACTTACAACTTGTTCATCTTACTGCTCCAGTAACGTGTTATTATATTCATATATATATATGTTGTGAATGTACATTATAACTATATCTGTCAGTGTGGTACTTGTGTACAAACATTTTACCTGCCACGACCTACTTACACAGTATAGACATGAGAATGAAAGCTAGATCAGTGTAGTATTATAGTATTCGTGTATATAAATCGATGTCAAATTAATTTTGATTTTTGCGAACATTTGAATTTAATTATACACATTTAGGTTTGCTATAAGAAGTAAAGGATTTTGGTGTTAATAAATGTTTTACATAATTGTTAGATGCGTATGCTGTATAATGTTAAAATTTGATCATTTCGATTTACATATGAATGTTTGTTTTAAAGTTGTTCTTATGAAAAGTATATTTGAATGTTATTTGTTCTCTGTGATCATGATTAGATATAAGATTGTTAATCTGGGGTGATTACTGTTTATGGCCTAGTGTAAATATAGTTTTGAATGTAAGAATCAAGAAAATTCAAATAATAGTGCTATTAGAGTCTTGTGAAAAAAAACTTTTTAATTGGAATATAATGTGTTACCATGGCAACATGTATTGTTTTAGTATTTCATAACCAACTTTTGCTCTGTAATTACATGCCATTGCGTACGTCCTCTGAAATATGTTGGAGAAAGTCCGAGAAACAACATTTTTAATGGGGTAGAATTTGTTACCATGACAAAATATATTGTAGTATTCTATAAAACAACTTTTGTTCTACATGTATATGTGTATGTCATTGCCAACAGTTACCATGACAACAGTATGATCGTAGTATTTTATAAACCAAATTTTGTTCTATTTATATGCTATTTCATACCTCCTCTGGAATATGTTCAGGAATAGAGAGTTAAATTGGAATAGAATTTGTTTCCATGACAACATGTATTGTCTTAGTTTATAAACGAACTGTTGATTTATAACTGTATGTAATTGCATACGCCCTCTGAAATATGTTGGGAAAAGGACATTTATAATTGGAATAGAATTTGTTACCATGACAACAGATATTTTCTTAGTATCTTATAAACCAACTTTTTCTCAATAATTGTTTGTCATCCGTAATGTTACCATATTAACATCAGATTTGTAACACAATGCCAACGGCCACGTTGGCATGACAATGTCGGCGCCATTTAGGCATCACAATGTCTACCCAATGTTGACAACACAACGATCCACACAATGCCCATGTAAAAAACCATGGCATCAACAAGCATTGTAGGCGGTGGCTTAAAGTGAATGAAGCGCTAGGAAAATCTACTCTATAACCCCGAGTGTTTCGATGACGATGAATGGTTTCACAACGAGAGTAGATGATGATATATCGATGCCAGTAGTTCAACACTGGAGAGCTTCTAACACACTTCTAACTGAACTTCTCTCCACATATGTGAATACACACTTCCCTGTGGGCTACCTGCCTTCTATGTTTCGGGTGAATACACTCATCAATGGGTTGCTAGCCATCTATCTCTCTGACGGGCGAATAGTCTACCCTTTAGGTTGCTAGTCAGCTGTGTGACGGAAGAATACTCCTTCCAATGGGGTGCTAGACACCTATCTCTCTGACGGGCGAATAGTCTACCCTTTAGGTTGCTAGTCAGTTGTGTGACGGAAGAATACTCCTTCCAATGGGGTGCTAGCCACCTATCTCTCTGACGGGCGAATAGTCTACCCTTTAGGTTGCTAGTCAGCTGTGTGACGGAAGAATACTCCTTCCAATGGGCTGCTAGCCACCTATCTCTCTGACGGGCGAATAGTCTACCCTTTAGGTTGCTAGTCAGCTGTGTGACGGAAGAATACTCCTTCCAATGGGGTGCTAGCCACCTATCTCTCTGACGGGCGAATAGTCTACCCTTTAGGTTGCTAGTCAGCTGTGTGACGGAAGAATACTCCTTCCAATGGGCTGCTAGCCACCTATCTCTCTGACGGGCGAATAGTCTACCCTTTAGGTTGCTAGTCAGCTGTGTGACGGAAGAATACTCCTTCCAATGGGCTGCTAGCCACCTATCTCTCTGACGGGCGAATAGTCTACCCTTTAGGTTGCTAGTCAGTTGTGTGACGGAAGAATACTCCTTCCAATGGGCTGCTAGCCACCTATCTCTCTGACGGGCGAATAGTCTACCCTTTAGGTTGCTAGTCAGCTGTGTGACGGAAGAATACTCCTTCCAATGGGCTGCTAGCCACCTATCTCTCTGACGGGCGAATAGTCTACCCTTTAGGTTGCTAGTCAGCTGTGTGACGGAAGAATACTCCTTCCAATGGGCTGCTAGCCACCTATCTCTCTGACGGGCGAATAGTCTACCCTTTAGGTTGCTAGTCAGCTGTGTGACGGAAGAATACTCCTTCCAATAGGCTGCTAGCCACCTATCTCTCTGACGGGCGAACAGTCTACCCTTTAGGTTGCTAGTCAACTGTGTGACGGAAGAATACTCCTTCCAATGGGGTGCTAGCCACCTATCTCTCTGACGGGCGAATAGTCTACCCTTTAGGTTGCTAGTCAGTTGTGTGACGGAAGAATACTCCTTCCAATGGGCTGCTAGCCACTTGTATTTCGGGCGAATATACTCTTGAGAACTGAAAAAGGAACATACCTCTCACTGGGCCACATTCCATCTCTTTGACAGGAGAATACACTTCCAACTTGGCTAGTAGCTATCTGTAATTTGGGCAGTAAATTATGTGACGGACTGATACTCTTCCTAGTGGGTTGCTAGTCATCCTTTTGTGACGAGAGAGTACACCTCCTAGTGGGTGGCTGGCCATCCAGGTGACGAGCGATGCACCTCTCAATGGGTTGCTAGCCACCTGTGTGAAGAGCGAAAACACATCTCAATGTGCTGTTAGCCACCTATGTGAAGAGCGAATACACCTCTTAATGGGCTGCTAGCCACCTGTGTGAAGAGCGAATACACCTCTCAATGGGCTGCTAGCCACCTGTGTGAAGAGCGAATACACCTCTGAATGGGCTGCCAGCCACCTGTGTGAAGAGCGAATACACCTCTTAATGGGTTGCTAGCCACCTGTGTGAAGAGCGAATACACCTCTTAATGAGCTGTTAGCCACCTGTGTGAAGAGCGAATACACCTCTTAATGGGCTGCTAGCCACCTGTGTGAAGGGCGAATACACCTCTTAATGGGCTGCTAGCCACCTGTGTGAAGGGCGAATACACCTCTCAATGGGCTGCTAGCCAATTGTGTGAAGGGCGAATACACCTCTTAATGGGCTGCTAGCCACCTGTGTGAAGGGCGAATACACCTCTCAATGGGCTGCTAGCCACCTGTGTGAAGAGCGAATACACCTCTTAATGGGCTGCTAGCCACCTGTGTGAAAAGCGATTACACCTCTTAATGTGCTGCTAGCCACCTGTGTGAAGAGCGAATACACCTCTTAATGAGCTGTTAGCCACCTGTGTGAAGGGCGAATACACCTCTTAATGGGCTGCTAGCCACCTGTGTGAAGAGCGAATACACCTCTTAATGAGCTGCTAGCCACCTGTGTGAAGAGCGAATACACCTCTTTATGTGCTGCTAGCCACCTGTGTGAAGAGCGAATACACCTCTTAATGGGCTGCTAGCCACCTGTGTGAAGAGCGAATACACCTCTTAATGGGTTGCTAGCCACCTGTGTGAAGAGCGAATACACCTCTTAATGTGCTGCTAGCCACCTGTGTGAAGAGCGAATACACCTCTTAATGAGCTGCTAGCCACCTGTGTAAAGAGCGAATACACCTCTTAATGGGTTGCTAGCCACCTGTGTGAAGAGCGAATACACCTCTTAATGAGCTGCTAGCCACCTGTGTGAAGGGCGAATACACCTCTCAATGGGCTGCTAGCCACCTGTGTGAAGAGCGAATACACCTCTTAATGGGTTGCTAGCCACCTGTGTGAAGAGCGAATACACCTCTTAATGGGTTGCTAGCCACCTGTGTGACGGGCGAATACAACTCCAAATGGGCTGCTAACCATCTGTGTGACAGGCGAATACACCTTCCAATGGGCTGCTACCCATCTGTGTGAAGAGCGAATACACCTCTTAATGGGTTGCTAGCCACCTGTGTGAAGAGCGAATACACCTCTTAATGAGCTGTTAGCCACCTGTGTGAAGAGCGAATACACCTCTTAACGGGCTGCTAGCCACCTGTGTGAAGGGCGAATACACCTCTTAATGGGCTGCTAGCCACCTGTGTGAAGGGCGAATACACCTCTTAATGGGCTGCTAGCCACCTGTGTGAAGGGCGAATACACCTCTCAATGGGCTGCTAGCCACCTGTGTGAAGGGCGAATACACCTCTTAATGGGCTGCTAGCCACCTGTGTGAAGGGCGAATACACCTCTCAATGGGCTGCTAGCCACCTGTGTGAAGAGCGAATACACCTCTTAATGGGCTGCTAGCCACCTGTGTGAAGAGCGATTACACCTCTTAATGTGCTGCTAGCCACCTGTGTGAAGAGCGAATACACCTCTTAATGAGCTGTTAGCCACCTGTGTGAAGGGCGAATACACCTCTTAATGGGCTGCTAGCCACCTGTGTGAAGAGCGAATACACCTCTTAATGAGCTGCTAGCCACCTGTGTGAAGAGCGAATACACCTCTTTATGTGCTGCTAGCCACCTGTGTGAAGAGCGAATACACCTCTTAATGGGCTGCTAGCCACCTGTGTGAAGAGCGAATACACCTCTTAATGGGTTGCTAGCCACCTGTGTGAAGAGCGAATACACCTCTTAATGTGCTGCTAGCCACCTGTGTGAAGAGCGAATACACCTCTTAATGAGCTGCTAGCCACCTGTGTAAAGAGCGAATACACCTCTTAATGGGTTGCTAGCCACCTGTGTGAAGAGCGAATACACCTCTTAATGAGCTGCTAGCCACCTGTGTGAAGGGCGAATACACCTCTCAATGGGCTGCTAGCCACCTGTGTGAAGAGCGAATACACCTCTTAATGGGTTGCTAGCCACCTGTGTGAAGAGCGAATACACCTCTTAATGGGTTGCTAGCCACCTGTGTGACGGGCGAATACAACTCCAAATGGGCTGCTAACCATCTGTGTGACAGGCGAATACACCTTCCAATGGGCTGCTACCCATCTGTGTGACGGGAGAATACATTTCCCAATGGGCTGCCTGCTGAAAATGATGACTTCACCAGCAGGCAATGTGATCCTAGAGAGGCATAAGTGAATGAAGCGCTGGGAAAATCTACTCAACATCCGGGAGTTTTTCGAAGACGCGATGCCAAACGGCTTCACGGGAAGAGAATATGATATATTGAACTTAACAGCTACCATGCGAGGAGTTAAGCTGTTGAGAATTGTAGAAGGAACACACTACCCAGTGAGCTGCTAATGAGTTGCTAGCCATTTGCGTGACAAGAGGATACACCTCCCAATGAGCTGCTAGCCATCTATGTGACAAGAGAATACACCTCCATAGGAACTGCTGACCATTTGTGTTACAAGTGAATACACCTCCCGATAAGTCATCTATGTGCCTGGGGAATACACCTCCCATTGAGCTGCTAGCCATTTGTGTGACGGGAGAATACACCTCCCAATGAGCTGCTAGCCATCTATGTGACAAGAGAATACACCTCCCAATGAACTGCTAGCCATCTTGTGACAAGAGAATACACCTCCCAATGAACTGCTAGCCATCTTGTGACAAGAGAATACACCTCCGAATGAGCTGCTAACCATTTGTGATACAAGAGAATACACCTCCCAATGAGCTGCTAGCCATCTATATGACAAGAGAATACACCTCCCAATGAGCTGCTAGCCATCTATATGACAAAAGAATACAACTCCCAATGAGCTGCTAGCCATCTATGTGACAAGAGAATACCGCCCCCCTCCCCCCACCAATGAGCTGCAAGCCATCTATGTGACAAGAGAATACACCTCCCAATGAGCTGCAAGCCATTTGTGTGACAAGAGAATACACCTCCCATTGAGCTGCTAACTATTTGTGTGACAAGAGAATACACCTCTCAATGAGCTGCTAGCCATCTATGTGACAAGAGAATACACTTTCTAAAGAGCTG